GAGAGAGAGAGTGTGTGGTGTGTGTGTGTGTGGCCAGCTCAGCCCACCAGGGGGCGGGGCTGGCTGGCATGTGGTGCTGGGGGATTGAACCGCGGTCCCTTGATGCTTTGCCAAGCTTGTTCTAAGTAGGTGCCTTAGACCACTGAGCCATCTCTCCAGCCCCAACTTATTTAATAATTTTTTTTTTTTTTCGGAACCGGGGATTGAACTCAGGCCCTTGCGCTTGCCAGAGAAGTGCTTATTTCACTGAGCCATCTCCCTGGCCCCTGCCCTGTCCTAAATTCATAAAAAAATAAAAAGGTGAATACTAAGCATATTCATAGCAATCTCACCCCCATCTGTGTTCAAGCACGTCCAGGTCCTGACCCAAGATATGAAAGCCAAGTCCCATAGAGTCTCAGGGACCCTTGTACTGTAGGGCCTTCAATGAGAGTTCCCCACATTCTGCATTTGGAAGGTGTATCCTTGAGTAGCAGGCCTGTTTGGGTTTTTGTTTTGTTTTGTTTTGTTTTTTACAGGGAATTAAAATCAGGATTTTGGTGCTTGCCAGGGAGGCATTGTGCTGCCATACTACATCCCTGGCCTCCTTTTTGTGTTTTGAGAGAGGGTCTTGTGTACATTTAGGCTGGCCTTGAACTCTGTGTAGCCCAGGCTGGTCTTGGAACTCGAGCTTCTCTTGCCGTAGCTCCCTCAATGCTGGGAGGATTATAGTCCTGCACCACTAGGCTTGGTTCTGTCCCCATGTCTGTCATCTGAGATGGGATGCTAATTCCTCCAGCTGCAGGGGCCGGGGGCGGGGTGGGGGCAGGTTGGAGACCTGTAAGGACCCTGTTGTGGTAGGTGGTGGGAAGAGCCCTAGTTGGGGTGAAAGACCTCATGCATGGTGGAAATGAGTTGGGCAGCTGAGCCCGAAGTGTAGATGCAGGAGGCAGCTGGGGATAGAATACTTGTCTGAATACTGCTCCTGAACTGTTCCTGGTCCTCTGAGTTTCTGCCCTATGGCTCCTTTGTGAGCCTTCTGCCGAATTAAAAGTCCCTACCCACCACCTGCTTCCCCCAGATCTGACCCTTGGTTATCGTAGCATGGGCTTTTTCTTGGTCTCCACCCTCATTTTGGTGGCATTCAGGTCATTACAGGCAACCTGCTCCCTCTGCTGGGGCATATCCAAACATTCCTCTGGGGAAGGGGAGCAAGGTGCAGGGCTGAAGGGGCCGGGGAGATGGCTCAGTGGAATAAGTGCTTCCCTGGCGAGCACAAGGGTCTGAGTTCAATCCCCGGTTCCACCAAAAAAAAAAAAAAAAAAAAAATGCAGGGATGAGCAAAGGTGAGGGAGAAGAGGGTAGTGACAGAGAAACAGCATAGAGGTTTGGAATGGTTGATGCTTGTGGGCCTGAGTGGGAAGCCAATTCCTGTACTTGTCTGCCTTCAGGTCACCTAGGTGGGGTCCGTGATTGCTGGCCAGGAAAGCCCAACTTCTGCTCCAATTCCACCAGCCTACTCCAGTTGTCTTGAGAACAGGGATATGGGTAGGGGTGAAGGATAGAGGCAAGAGGAACTGGTGATGCGGCAGGATGTCAGGAGGCCCCGCGTGGGTGACAAACTCCCAGGGCAGCCCTCAGCCCTGAGCTCAGCTAATGTGAAGAATTTACACCCTCCTGTGCTAACTCTGCGTGCACCTGCACTCTTGAGTGGGCACCCTGTGCCATGATGTTAGGCTCAGAGGCCCTGGGCTGGAAGGAGAGCTGACCCGAGGCCCTGAAATCAGGCCTCCAGCAAGTGCAGTCACTGAACCACCCCCTGGCCTTGAATCCCACCTGGACCCTAAGATGGGCCTCTGCCTGTCTCCTCCATCCTTGCTGACCCAGCCTTTGGTGGGTGATTGGGTGAGGGCCCCCCTTAGAGGGCCCCAGTGCCTGGCAGGTAATTCTGTTTACCTTTCCTGAGAGAACTCCTGTTCTTTAATTTGCTCCAATTAGCCCAGGTTACCTGAATGGTGCCCCTCACCCAGGGCCCAGCCTCTCCATCTAGGGGCCTCTGGAAGGGTCCTCCCCACCCCACCAAGCTGCTTCTCTGTACTTGCTCTGACCCAGCCACATGGTCTGGGATAGAACTAGGCACCTTACATGTCCTGTGCCTCCACAGTAACTCAGATTCAGGATGCCCCAGATACTGGGGCCCCCACCCTAAAATACCTCCTGGCTCTTCCTGTGCCCAGCACAACTCTTTAAGAAGTGACTGGGGCTATGCGGGGGTTGGGCAACTCTACTAACCCATTCACCTGGACTGAGGGCATTCTGAGGACACCCATTTCTCCCATTCTGTCTGTTGGTGCTCACAGTTTCAGGGAGAGGGCTGTCTGGAAAGGACCTCTGTACGCCTGGTGTCCATGTTGGATTAGCAGGACTGTGATGCTAGTGGCCTCTTTCAGCCACCATCCCTCTTCATAGTCCTCTGCTGCTGAACAGGATTTTTAGGGATCCAAGGACAAAGAAGGCCCCAGATGATGGAAGGGTTACCAGAAACTGCTCAGTTGGGTGCAGATGGCTGGCCACCCCTGGGGCCCTTCCAGCCACCTGTGCAATAAGGGTGCTGGAGGTGCCTGCTGGAAGAAGTGACAAGGCCCAGCCACCATAGGTCCCCCTCCACGAGCCTGGCCTGGCTGCTCACACTCCTCCAGCAAGGGCATTTCTAGCTCAGCTCTCTAGGACCTTCACAGTGGCCACTACCTGAGCTATTTATTGGAGGACACACACTTCATGTACAAAGGACACCAACACATCTGGAAAGTTGCACCTACAGTTGATGGCTCAGCTCCCATGCCACACCTGAATCATCTCGCCTTAGCCCTTGGACAGGGAATGTGTGGGGAGGAGGGGATAGTGATGTGAGCAACTGTGGGCTGCCCCAGCCTTGGGCAGGCACCTAGCTCAGGGCTGTCCTGGGAAAGCTCTGTGGTCCCTGACTCCAGCCCTGGAGAGGTTCTTGGCCAATCAAGGGAGGTCATTGACCAAGGGGGTTTCTGCAGAGGGTTCATGGCTGGCCCCATTGCTGCTGCCCCCCTTCACCAGCTGAAGCTTCTCACAGAGGGGGCCGCGACTGGGCCCTGTTGGGGCCGAGTGGCTGCTTGTGATGCGTTCATCCAGCAGTGCTTTGCCTTCTCGCCAGCGCCGCCAGTGCCGCCACAGCTCCGCCTGCACCTGTAGGTCCAGGGGGTCATGATTGCTAGGGCTGGCACTCACCTCCCAAGAGCCAGCTTCAGCCTCGAGGAACTCCACAGCCAGGCAACCTCCATGATGCACATGAATAACCAGAGGAAGGACCCCGGGCCCTGAGTCCCCACCTACCTCCTTATTGAGGAAGCAGTAGAGAACAGCTACCAGCAAGCCCTGGAGAAAAAGGGCAGTCAGGGGTGGCACCTGTCCCTGGGGGCACAGGGACAAGCGGGTGGTCACCTGGAAGGAGCTCAGGAAGAGGTCAAAGAAGAGCTTGACAGAACGCAGGGTTCCCTTGGCCTGCTCATCCGTCACAAAGGCAAAGACCACTTCGTGGACACCCAGCAGTGGGATGAGGGTCAGGGTAGACTTGGCCAGCCTGTTGGGGGAAGCAGTCTGAGTATTTCAGCTGCCCTGCCTGGGCCAGGCTCTGCCCACATGGGCCTTGGAGCCTCATTCCCAGGCATACTCTGGCCCTGGGGGGTCTCAGGCCTGTGTACCCCAGCCCCTGGCCCCACCCACCGGAATTTATAGTCAGCATAATGCATCTGGCGAGCACGCAGCTTGGCCACAAGGAGGTGAATGATGCGGACAAAGATGGTGAAGTTGATCTGTGGGGAGGGTACAGGTCAGAGCAAATCTGGACTGCTCTGTGGCCTGGAAGCCCCTACCTGTCCACCCGCAGGTAGGCCTGTGGCCAGCTGCGTTCTGGGCTATGTGGCTCTGGGGCTGGTGGGCACCCAGCCAAGGATGAACAGCCTGGTTGACAGCCAAGGGTGGCATCTTGGATGCACACTGGCCCCGGCCTGCCTGCCTTCCCTCCTGGCAGCATGCTGCCTCTTCTTATTCCCTTCCTAGTTCCTTACCAGGATGGCTAGGAAGACAGGAACACGAAGGATCCACCAGAAGCCCATGTTGTCATTGGTGGTCCAGCACCTGTGGGGTGGCTTTTTACAATCTGGACGTGCACCCAGCCTCCCACCCCCACCCTCCAGTTTAATTTTGCTGGGATCTAATGAGTGTCCCAAGAAAGGAAGGAAGGTCACAATCAACTCCATCCCCAGGCACCAGGCTTGCACGTACCCTGCACCATTTCTGGCCAGAGTGTGCCCTGCCTCCCCTGGGCTGCTCCCCAAGCCCAGTGTCAAGGCCCAGGCTACCCTGCTCCAGCCTTCTATCTGTTCATACTCACTGGATGTTCTCAAAGAGACACTTGACCACCACCCAAGGGATGACAAACAGCAGAGGTGCACCTGTAGGCGGCAGCGGCTGAGATCCTGAGCCCCCTTACCCCTCCTCCCTCCCGGCACCAGTGCACTCACCCCAGCCGATAGCCAGGTAAAGCATGAAGAAACTCCGCTCAGGGAAGGTGGCAAGGCTCAGCAGGCTGTACAGGTACACACCTTCCACCAGCAGCCAGCAGTAGTTGGCCACTATACCATACTGCATGATCACTGCAGCCGCACGGCAGCCGGCCACCGTCTTTGCAGGGTTGGATATAGTGTGAGCGGGGTCCCAGGGACCCTGGCCACCCTGGGCAAACACGAACACTCACCCTATCACTCAGCCAGACGCTGACACTGAGATCGTCTCTGATATTCTGGCTATAGCGGGCCTTAAGCAGCTTGTCGATGACCAGCACAGAGCCCGCCTTGAGCACGAAGGATGCAAACAGGTTCAGGTGGATGTAGTTGCGAGTGCAGTGCAGCTTGCTGCAGGAATGGTAAATCAGTGCTGCTTGCCACATCACCTGGGGCTGCCCACGCTGGCCTTGAGCTCTGCATACCTGAGACCCAGCAGGATTGCCAGGGCAAAGAGCAGCGCCCCTAGGGACAGGCTGTACCCCACTGTGTACATCACTTGGAAGCTGCTGTACATCTTGGCTGCCTCCTTCTACAAACCACAATACCCAGTCAGGGCCAGGCAGGGGCCACTTTCACTGCCCCCACCCAGCCCTGCTGTGCACTGCCGCTTGCCCACCGAGACTGACCTGGATCTCTATCTCCTGATCATCCATCTGGCACTGGGAGGCATTGCGCCATGGCTGCCCCTGGGGCCCACGTACCCACTGTCCATCAGGCCCACACTTCTTGAACACCAGGCGGTGCTGCACTGGGGCGTGGGGCAGGCTCTGGTTAGCCCACACTCAGGCCTCACCCCCCTCAACCATCCAAGGTCCCCCAGGGTTACCTTTGTGATACCAAGGTAAGTACCAGGGGCAGGAGATGTTGGCTGTGGTGTTGGGAGGTGTGTCTGGCCAGCAGGAATACTTGTCAAAGGTTCTGTTACAGACCAGCTCTGCAGAAGTGGGCAGGGGCAGGGGCTTTTCAGCAGTCTGGCTAGGTGAGGAGTCTCTCTTCCTCCTAGAAGCCACCTTAACATGGCCATCTCTTGTGAAAGCCTGCAGCCTAGAGCTGCTACCTCCTTGACCTGGGTCAGGCCCCCAACTGCCTGCCTCCCTTGGACCAACTTTCACCTCTACCTACCTTTACCTCCATGGGGTAGGCTCTGGTCAGCTTACCCCCAGGTCTTCCCTCCTCAGCCACTCAGGTCCCCCAGGGTTACCTTTATGGAAGGTTGACTCACAGGCACCCTCCCTAGGGGATCTCAGGATCCCCATGCTGAGGTCTCCCTTGCACTGCCTTCTTGAGCACCTTCCTCTCTGGGAGCTTCACCTCAATTCTGTCAGCATCCATCCCATGTCCAGTCTCAGTGATATACCAGTTCTCTCTGTGCATACACAGGTCACCCTCTTTCCTTTGGACAGTGCCACAGCCACCTATGGGCTCTCCTCCAATCTCTCCCTAGCCCTGAGTGACCAGTTCCTGCCTAAGCATTGTAGCCTGACTCCCAACCCCAGGCTGTGTGAGCTGCTCAGTTACTATCCTGTATGTGAAGTGGGGGCTGGGGTGACAGGACCACCAGGATGCTTCCCACAAGATGGGCTGGGGCTGCTGGGACTCACCAGTGGGGGCAGGTAGCAGGCTCAGGTTGTGGTGACACTGGTCACTGTATAGCTTCCACTTTTCGAACAGGAAGTCCATCACCTGAGCGGAGGATACCTGTGGCTGGTGATCAGATAGAGGGGCAGCCAGAGTGACAAGCAGGCAGGTGCTACAGAACTAGCAGCCAGCAGAGAGGAAGCCTGGGTGCCCTGGGCTGGGGGCACAGATAGGGACATGCAGCACTCACCTGGCAAGCCAGCAGTAGTAGGAGCAGGAGGTAGGGGTGGTGGGACTGGATGGGGGGCATGCCTTTTGGCTGCTGCCCCCCACATCTGGCAGAGGCCTTATGTCTGTGTCCTCGGGGTATGCACACCTCACACCTCTCCTCAGGCTGCAGAAGGTCTAAGCAGTGGGGTCCAGATGGAGTCCCAGCCAGGTGTATTCTGCTCCCCTAAAACCAACTCTATTAATGATTTGGGGGCTGGCAATGGACACACCATTCTACTCCTGGAGGACCTCATGGTTATGTAAGTGGTTTTACCTGGGAGTCCTATCTGGTGGCTCTGACAGTCCCAGAAACCCCTGTGCTGGTGATTGGTCCTAAAGCACTGAGGGACAGCAGCCTCCCTAGCCACACACCTTAGCACGATGGCCCAACCCATGGGAAAGTGAGCTGGCCAGGCAGCCCAACTGGGGTGCTCCTTGGCCCTCATGACCAGGCCAACTCCCAGCCATGTCAGGCCAGGTGTGTGGGACACATGGTCATACAGTCCTCCTCTCACACATAAGGCCTTTCCAGGACCACAGGGCCCCAGAGCCTCAGACATGGCTGAGGTAGAGCTTCTGAGTCTCTGGAGTACTACAGGATGGCTGGCAGTACATTCCTTTGAGATTAGCACTGCCAGAGTCTGGAGGCCAGTTAAGGGACCCCTCCATATAAGGGACAGGGGGGCAGGAGCACAGGATGGCAGCGGAGCCCTCTTTCGCTCTGACTGAATCCTTTGGGAGAAGCAGGACTCCCTGGGGAGTCTTGTAGCAGGGATGGGATGGTCTCTCTTCTGCATACCCTCAAAGGGAGGGAAACCTGTGGACGGATGGACAGACACAGGACAGAAGACAGTGCCGAAGAGGAGGAGTGCACCATAGCTGAGAAGGGGCAGGGGCTCCCCCCAACCCTGTAGGGTAAGCATGAAGGTGCTAGACAGGACCCTAAGCCTGGCCTTTGGGATACACAGGCAGGACAGGAGGTGGCATCCAGGTCCAGAGTGAGCCAGGAGTCCTGGGGCTGGGGGCCAGGGGAGGAGCCCACTCTAGAGTGATCTGAGAGAAGGCACCAGGCAGGAGGGACTGGGCAGGCACCCTCAGCCCTGGGTCACTAACAGGCCTGATCTGGTTCTGATGAAACAGCCTACCCACTGTTGCTGCCCTCAGCTTCCAGATCTTCTGGAGGCCCTGGGGGAGTAGCTGTGGGAACAGAGGGGACAGGAGTTGGCCAGGGTTTGTGACAGTCAAGATGTGGGCAGGTGGGGGCCTGGCCCTAGCTCAGTTCTTTAAGTGGCTGCTTCCACAAAGCTGTCAGCCTCAGGTTGCTGTAGTTCGATCCCCACATCCCTCCAGCCAGCCCAAAGTGCCCTGAAGGCATTCGCGGAGAAAAAAAAAAAAAAATCCTTATTCCGTTTTTGTGGCCGGGAGATAGCTCAGTAGAATAAGCGTTTGCCTGGCAAGCACGAGGGCCTCAGTTCAATCCCCGGTTCCACAAAAAAAAAAAAAAAAAAAAAATGTAGGCAGGGTCTTACAGAGGAAGAGATGCTATCCTAGACTCTGTAGGGACAGCAGCTCCCCGGGGAAAAGGACAGCCCCATGAGGAGGGCCCTGAGGCTCTGTACAATATCCTTGCTGGGAATGGGCACAGCTAGGGGCCTCTTGCTGATCCTGACCTATCAGGACTTTCGGAGCTGACTGCAGAGAAGCCACCCAGCTGGGGGTCTGTGAGTCTGGAGGCACCTGGAGAAAAGCAGGGCCAGAGGTAGCAGTGCAGGGCGATTGGCTGCTCCCTGACCTTTCCTCACAGGAGCTTGCCAAGGATGGTGATTTCCATGTGTCCTCGCATCCACCTCATAGAAGGTGGGTATGCTTGAGGCAGGAGGATTGCTATAAATTCAAGGCCAGCCTGGACTACATAATATGTTCAAGGCCAGCCTGAATTATAAGACCCTGTGTCAAGACAACAAAAACAAGGGTGGGGGAGATGGCTCAGTGGAATAAGCACTTCCCTGGCAAGCATAAGGGCCTGAGTTCAATCCCCAGTTCTGCCTGGGCCACAGGGTGGGGGGAGGTAAGGACACCTGGGACCCAGACCTAGAGGAACACAAAGGCCCTGACATCCTTCCTCTGGACTTGTGATAGAAATCTAGGAAGGGGCAGAAGTGGGTGAGGCCCCCTGCTCCATCTGGATGGTAGGGAAGTGTGGACAAGAGTTTAGGACACTCCTCTAAAGGGGGAGAAGCACATGAGATGGACAAGTTTCCAGCTGTGAGGCTGCGGTTTCAGAGGTTCCTGGCCCCAGAGAGCACCAGGTGGGAGGCTGGGACCAAGGACAAACAATTTAACTTCCCAAGTGGGTGTCCCTGCCTCTCTTCAGGGAGGATGAGCAATGAGCAAACTTCAGCGGGCAAAGGGCTCTGTCACCTGCTGGGAAGGATGGGCCAATCTGGATCTGTGTGTGTCCAGGTCCCCCAGTGGGGTAAACAGACAGCAGAGACAGCCAGCAGCCGCGTGATAAATGTTTGTCCTCTCAGTAAGAGGACTTGGAGTCCCTGGATGACAAGGCAGCCAGATACGGAGGTGCAATTGGGGCTTCCATTGGCCAGGACGCGGTGCCTGGCCCCCTTTCCACCTTGTTACCCTCTCTGGGAAGGAACAAGTAGGGCTGGGGAGCACAGATGGGGGACCCTACCCTTCTATCTTCTTTGACCATGCACAGCTACCCCTTGGGTTGCGGGTGACGGCCAGAGAGGCAGGCTGCCAGCCTCTCCCAGGCCTTGCTGTGGCCACGGCCTCCCCTCTGCCCTCCTTCCGCAGCGGACACATTGGGCTACACGGGCCACCTGAGCTGCCCCTGCTGCTTACTGAGCTGGCACTGCCCCATGCCAGCTTCTGCAGGCACATGACTTGGGTGCTCAGTGTTCCACCATTTTCCACTGGGAGAGGCTGAGAGACCCCAAGTGGCTTCTATTGGCCAAGGAAGGCCTGGGTGGGAGGGGTAGGGAAGGTGCATTCCCAGATACTCTAGGGAGCCCCTAGGGTTGGAAGTGGAAGGGAGGAAGATGTTTTTGTGAAACTAGGGAAGGTTACAATCTGGGGCGGGAACCGGGGCCACAGACCGTCAACGAAGCCTGCCTCCTCCCCAGCCCCCTTGGGGCAGGCAGCCCTGGGATGGTAGCCAGAGTGTGCTCCCCCTCCCAACACACACCCTGTCCCCAATACAGAAGAACATGAAAACAGCCCTTGCTGCCCTCGGAGGATGCAGGCGCCATGAGGTGAGGCGTTAGTTGGTTCAGGGTGGAGGCATAAACCTCGCAGTCAGAGGAGAGGAAGCGGGGGTCCAGAGAGACCGGAGCAGGGCAGGGCAGTGACCGTCGCCTGCCGGGGTCAAAGTCACAAGTGTGGGTCTCGGAAGAAGAGCCAGTTGGGTGGGACATCGATGCCCCTCACCCATTGGGGAAAGTCGGGTACTCCTCGGGCGTCCTGGAGCAGGGGCGCACTGCAGAGGGGCGCAAGCGCCCCTGAGGCCCCGGCCCAGGTGCATCTGCAGAGCTGCGCGCACACCGGGAGTGGGGGTCGGGGTAAGGGTGGAGGAAGGGCGAATCCGAAGTAGAGAGAGGTCCTGGGACCCCCGACCCAGTCCGACGGTGAGGCCTGGGAGCCACCTGAGCTCGGAGGGTGCATCTCCGTGTTGGAACGGAGCAGTCGGACCCCGAGCCACCTGGGACCCAGGAAACTGCTAACTCGGGAGCCCCCGCCAACTCTCCGCGGTCACCTTCCGCGTTCCCGCCCGCTCCCCTACGGGGTCGGCTCAGGACCCTCCTCTCCGGCGGCCAGGTGCTCACCTTGCGGCGCAGCTCGGGCTCGGCTGGGGCTAGGGCCCCACGGTCCTCGGGAGCGAGGATAGGCGCCCGCTCCGCGCCCCGCACCCCGCGCCCCGCACCAGAAGCGCGCAAAATCCTGGGCGGCGACGCTGGGCGGTGGCTGGGGCGTGGGGGCGGCGGCGGGGGCGGGGCCGGGGGAGCTGCACGGTGGCTCCCGGACCCTGGCCTGTGCAGCCTCCTCTACGACTCCGGGCCTCTCTCCCCCCCGCAGCCCCCCAGGACCTCAGAGCAGGGCCTGGGACCCAGCTCCGAGCGGGAACACCTGTGCGTGTGTGGTGAGGTCACCCACATGTGGTGACTCCTCCTGACGCGTACTAGTCATCTTCCTGATTGTTAGGAAGGACGAATTCCTTTTCTTTTCCCCACCAGGCCTGGGTGACAGTGTTTCAGCCGCCACACCTGCGCTGCAGCTGGGAGCTGGTTGGGGTCAGGGCACATTGTTGCTCTTGAGGTCTCAGAACAAGTGAGCCCCTGTAGCCGTTTCTGAGTCATCCCCGAGGTCTCAGACCTTAGCCTCTCCTTGAAGTCCCTCCAGCATAGCCCATCCAGCCCCAGCTGATTTGGTCCCAGCAGACTGCCACCACCGAGCCCCGCCACTGTCTCTTCTTGCCCCCACCCTCCAGACACATTTTTCGTTGAGGATTCCAGAAGTCCTGAGTCTCCATGCCACCTGTTCTTCCAGGAAGGGGTCCTCTTCCCCATCTCCCTTAAAGCCAGCAGCCCATCAAGGCAGTTCTCCTACCCAGTGGGCAGTGCTACTCCCGCCTTGTGACCGGGTCATCAAACCAAATGGGTGCATCCAGGCTTTGGCTTTTCTGGCTTCTCTATATCCCGATACTAATGGTCATGCCCCCTTAGAAAGTTATCCATGCGGCTCTTGTTCCAGAGTGGACATTCCTTTGCCTCCCTCCTACAGCTCCCAGGGTCTCCTAAACATCTTCTGGGGCCCCTGGGAGCCCTGCCCCTGCCCCACTCCTCTGAGGTCTCCACATCCCACCTGTGGGACACTTGGCAATGGGCCCAGGGTTCTCCTGTTTCTCTGGAGTCCATCTGTTCCCTTCACTGCCACCCACTGGCCCAGCGACCATCTCCCTGCTCCCTGGGTCAGCTCCTTGGTGTGGTTCTGGGTCTTGAAGTCCCTTCCCCAGGACTTTACTTTTGTTTGTGGTCTGTGGTCATTGGAACCAGTGCCCCTGCCTTGGACCCCAAGTGGTGCCCACGGGTGCTTTGCACACCTCCATGATCTTCCTCTCCCCTTCCACTTGGTTCTCACCCCAGTGTCACCTGTCTCTGACCCAAGATGGATACCCCTGGGAGAAACATCTGTACCTCTTTCCTAATTCCTATCTGAAACGTGCCCCCAGGCTGCCCTTTCTGTTTTGGTGTAGGCAAAGGTCAGAAATCAAAGGTCATGAAAGTGTGTCTCCATCCTATTGGGAGCAGTCTGAAAGAGGAGGCTGTGATAGGTGCTGCCCACTCAACCACCAACTCCTCTCCCTGGGCCACACACTGAGCTTCCCAGTCCAGATCACCCCCTCCAGATGAGGATGGGGGTGTGGGCTTCAAGGGCTCTGGCTAGATACGTGATGAGGGTGCAGGAACACTTCCCACAGTAGATGAGGACAAAGTGCAAGTGGGGGCTCTGGGACCCTGACCTGGGCCTCCTGCTTTGCTGTACCCTAAGGGCAGGTTCTTCCTGGAGATTGGGATAAGGGCTCATCCTTGCTGTTGGGTCTCAATGGCTAGGGATGCACTCACAGAAGAGAGGTGAAGACTCTATTTGGCAGGCTGAGGCTGCATCTGCTATGTGGTGGGGAGGAGTAGCAAAAATGGTGAGGTGCACCTTCCCAGGATAGGGCTACCTGTTTCCCTGCCTGCCCAAAACTTGTCAGGCTCCTAAATCTACTCGTAGCCCCATTGTGCTGCATCTCATAAAATCCAGTGTTAGCCAGAGCCTGCTAGACCAGGGGGCTGGAGCCCCATCCTGGGTCCCCAGCTCCTCATCTCCAGATCCCCAGCCAGTGAGACAGGGTCTCACTACGAAATTCAGATTCTTAGTGATTCAATCAAGCCGGCTTGATTTCGGCAAGAGTCCTGCTAAGTCACTTTTGACAGAAACCCCCAACTCACCAGTGTGTGTTGGCAGGAACTTTCCATCCACTGACTCTCACTTGTGTCTCCACCGCTGTGCCCAAAGGATAGACTGTGCTGTAGGCTCACTTCATGAGGTCTCTGCGCCATGAAACAAGCCCTCAACACACTTTCTGCGGGTGTGGAGAGAGGCTCAGTGGGAGAGTACATACTTCCAGTGAGTGAGGCCCTGGGTTCCATCCCAGGAAACAAAAATCTTGTTTTCACCAATTTAACTATTGTCTAGCTCTGGATTTCTCTGACAGTCAAAAGTTATAAACAGACCTAGAGCTGGGAATGCAGGGGGGCGGGCCTTCCCATGTAGCTGTCTGGGGCCCTAATAGCCTGGGGACCAGGATGGCGCCTGCTATCTTTGGTCACTTGAACCCAGGGGTTCCAGGTCAGCCTGGGGAGCAGAAAAGAACCTCCCCCTTAAAAAAAAAAAAAAAA